TCTCAAGTCTGAAGCATTTCTGAGCAAGAGGACACAGAATTCAAAGTTGAGTTGTGATACAGGGGTTAAAGCGACATGAGTGTAGATAAGACACAGGTTTGTTAGAAAATAGACACCATCTTAGCAGAGGGTCATAAACATAGGCGTGCGCAGCCTATTGCATTAGGGTGTGCACCCTAAAGCACAAGCACACGCCGCATATATGTATGTATATATATATATATATATATATATACATATACACACACATACACATATATACACACATACACACACTGCTGTGTGTGTGCTGTGTGAGGGTGCCGTTAGTGTGATGTGTGTGTGACGGTGCTGGTAGTGTGCTATGTGGGTGAGGGTGTTTGTGTGTGCATGCTTCTGAGGATGCTGTTTGTGTGTGTGTGTGCGCGCTTGTGAGGGTGCTGTTAATGTACTGTGTGTGAGGGTGCTGTTTGTATGTGAGGGTACTGGTAGTGTGCTGTGTGTATGTTTGTGAGGGTCCTGTTTGTGTTTATGAGGGAGCTGTTTGTGTGCTGTGTGTGAGGGTGCTGTGTGTGTTTGTGAGGGTGCTGTATGTGTTTGTGAGGGTGCTGTATGTGTCTGTGGGTGCTGTATGTGTGTGGGTGCTGTATGTCTGTGGGTGCTGTGTATGTCTGTGGGTGCTGTATGTGTGTGGGTGCTGTCTGGGTGCTGTGTATGTCTGTGGGTGCTGTATGTGTGTGGGTGCTGTATGTGTGTGGGTGCTTTCGTGTATGTCTGGTGGGGTGCTGTGTATGTCTGGGTGCTGTGTGGGTGCTGTATGTGTGTGGGTGCCGTCTGGGTGCTGTGTATGTGTGTGGGTGCTGTCTGGGTGCTGTATGTGTGTGGGTGCTGTGTGGGTGTGTGCTGTATGTCTGTGGGTGCTGTGTATGTCTGTGGGTGCTGTATGTGTGTGGGTGCTGTATGTGTGTGGGTGCTGTGTATGTCTGTGGGTGCTGTGTATGTGTGTGGGTGCTGTATGTGTGTGGGTGCTGTGTATGTCTGTGGGTGTTGTATGTGTGTGTGCTGTATGTGGGTGGGTAATTGTGGGGGTGGAGGTGGGGGTACATTAATTGCTATCCCCCCTCCCTTCTTACCTTTTGTAGGGAGGGGGGAACGTGGTCCTGGTGGTCCAGTGGAGGAGGGGATCCTTGCTGCTGCCATCCCTGGTGGTCCAGTGGAGAGTGAACTCTAACCCCTGTGGGGCTAGAGTTCACTCTCGCGAGATTTGAGCGCTGCCGTGGCAACGCTCATATCTCGCTAGAGGAACCCGGCGGAGCTGCCGGCAAGAGCTCCGCCGGGTCCTCTCCTGCCTCCCTCCCTGCATGTGGGTCAGTGGGGAGGGAGGCCGAGAGCAGAGCCGGCGCTCAGATAGCGCCGGCTCTGCATGAGCCGACAGGGGAGATCCTGAGATCTCCCCTGCCGGTCACAATACACATAGGCGTGCCGCGGGGATTAGGGTGTGCCCAGGCACACCCGGCACACCCCGTGCGCACGCCTATGGTCATAAATATCTTTTTGAAGAGCAGAGTGAGGGGGGAGAAAGGGAAAAGAAAAACAAACAAGCAGACAGTGCAGAGGATGGTACACTTTATACATACACACACACACATAAATATGTATATGTGAACGCATAAACACATGTACATATACATAAACACATATACATACATGCACATGAATTCATATACACAAATATAAATGCACAGTAATATATATAAGCATACATGCATACGAGTATGAGAAAGCATAGGTCTACACATAGTACTTTGTATATAGATAGAATAAACATATAGGAATGCATTTTAAAGTGTTGGTACATATGACAGAGTAGTAAGATAATGCTGGGAGAGAGTTCATGTAAAGTGTTGGTAGTGGGACAGGAATCCCAAATCAATATTTAGTCCTCTATTCTTGCTGTTAAACCATTTAATCATTCTGTCTTCAAAGGCTTTTCTTTCCTGGGTATTTTTAAAAACCCCTTTCAGTACTTTGATTTTTAGGTCCTTCAGCGAGTGGCCAGGCTGGGTAAAGTGGTGTCCCACAGCAGTGCAGTAGGATTCTTCTTTGTGGTGTTTAACAGAGTGTCTGTGCATATTCATTCTGCCATTTAATGGCTGGATGGTTTCCCCAATGTAGCATCCTTGGTGGCATTTTATGCATTGAATCATGTATACCACATTGCTGGATGTGCAGGAGTATGAACCTTTAATGCTGTAGGTTTTATTGTTGTGTGTGGCTGTGTTGTCTGTGCAAATGTGCTGACACAGTTTGCAGTGAGGTTTTTTGCATTGACTGGTCCCATTTTCTTAATTCTTACCATCAGTGGGCAGCTTCCTGTTGATTAATTTTTGGTGGAGGTTTGGTGGTTGTCTGAAGGCCAAAATGGGTGTTTCAGGAAAAATGTATTTCAGAGTCTCATCT